GATCATAGGCGTGAGCCACCAAGCCTGGCCGTGTATTTTTGTGTTGTTTTGTTTTTTGAGATAGAGTCTCACTCTGTCACCCAGGCTGGAGTGCAATGGCACAATCTTGGCTCACTGCAGCCTCCGCCTCCCAGGTTCAAGAGATTCTTCTGCCTCAGCCTCCCGAGTAGTTGGGACTATAGGTGAGCACCACCGTATCTGGCTAATTTTTGTATTTTTAGTAGAAACGAGACTTTATTATATTGACCAGGCTGGTCTTGAACTCCTGACCTTGTGATCTGCCTGTCTTGGCCTCCCAAAGTGCTGGGATTACAGGCGTGAGCCACCCAGCCCTGCCAGTTTTGTTTTTACATAAAGACGTGTCTTGTACTCCTGGGCTTAAGGGATCATACTTCTTCAGTTCCTACAGTGCTGGGATTACAGATAGGAGCCATTGTGCCCAGCTCCCATCTCTACTTTTAAATAACAAACATATATATATATAACTTTCATTTTTTTCTTTCTTTTTTTTGAGACGGAGTTTTGCTCTTGTTGCCCAGGCTGGAGTGCAATAGAGCCATCTCAGCTCACCAAAACCTCTGCCTCCCAGGTTCAAGTGATTCTTCCGCCTCAACCTCCCAAGTAGCTGGGATTACAGGTATAGGTATATGGCACCATGCCTGGCTAATTCTGTATTTTTAGTGGAGACAGAGTTTCTCCATGTTGGTCAGGCTGGTCTTGAACTCCCAACCTCAGGTCATCTGCCTGCCGTGGCCTCCTAAAGTGCTGGGATTAAAGGTGTGAGCCACCTCATCTGGCTTTTCTTTTCTTTCTTTCTTTCTTTTTCTTTGTTGGACAACCTCTTGCTCTGTCGCCCAGACTGGAGTGCAGTGGCGCCATCATTGCTCACTGCAGCCTTGACTTCCTGGGCTAAAGTGATCCCCCCACTTCAGTCTCCCAAGTAGCTGGGACTACCGGCGCAGGCCACCACATCCTATTAAGTTTTGTATTTTTCATATACATGGGGTTTTACTATGTTGCCCAGGCTGGTCTGGAACTCCTGAGCTCAGACTATCTGCTCGCCTGTCTCCCAAAGTGCTAGGATTACAGGCATGAGGCACCACGCCTGGCCACATATATGAGAACATTATACAGAGGTTAGCATAGCCCCTGAGCAAGGATGACATGCAAATCTGTGATGCTTTGCATATTTTTGTAATTACATGTCTATATCAAAATATCTCAAGAAACCCATAAATATATACACCTACTCTGTACTCAGGAAAATTTAAAATGAAAAAAATTTTTAAAAAGTAAGTCTTAGTGCTAAAAACAAACAAAAAGCACAATGATGCAGTATGTCAATGGGACACAGGAGCCAATTGAAAACTGGAAAAACTTCACCGGGAGCGGTGGCTCAAGCCTGTAATCCCAGCACTTTGGGAGGCTGAGACGGGTGGATCACGAGGTCAAGAGATCGAGACCATCCTGGTTAACACGGTGAAAACCCGTCTCTACTAAAAATGCAAAAAATTAGCTGAGCATGGTGACACGTGCCTGTAATCCCAGCTACTCAGGAGGCTGAGGCAGGAGAATTGCCTGAACCCAGGAGGCGGAGGTGGCGGTGAGCCAAGATCACGCCAGCACTCCAGCCTGGGTAACAAGAGCAAAACTCCGTCTAAAAAAAAAAAAAAAAAAAAAAGAAAAGAAAAGAAAGAAAACTGGAAAAACTTGAGCATAGTAAAGAAAGAAGTACCTGAGGCAGGCAGCTGGCTGGAGCCCAGGAGTTCCCGACCAGCCTGGGCAACACAGGAAAACCATTTCTTCACAAAAAATACAAAAATCTGGCCAGATGTGGTTGCTCAAGCCTGTAATCCCAGCACTTTGGGGGGCTGAGGTGGGTAGATCACCTGAAATCAGGAGTTTGATCTCCTGATCAAACATGGCCAGCCTGGCTAACATGTTGAAACCCTGTCTCTACTAAAAACACAAAAATTAGCAGGGCATGGTGGCACATGTCTGTAGTCCCAGCTACTCAGGAGGCTGAGGCAGGAGAACTGCTTGAACCCAGGAGGCGGAGGTTGCAGTAAGCTAAGATCGCACCACTGCACTCCAGCCTGGGCAACAAGAGCAAAACTCCATCTCAAAAAACAACAAAATTAGCCAGGCATGGTCACAGCTACTTGAGGGGGCTGAAGCAAGAGGATGGCTTGAGCCCAGGAGGTCAAAGGCTGCAGTGAACTAGGCATGGGCCACTGCATGCCAGTCTGGGCAACAGAGTGAGGCTCTGCCTCTATTAAAAAATAATAAATGGCCGCACCTGGTGGCTCACACCTGTAATCCAAGCACTTTGGAGGCCAAGGCAGGCGGATCACCTGAGGTCAGGAGTTCAAGACCACCCTGACCAATATGGTGAAACGCCGTCTTTATAAAAAGAAAAAAGTAATTTAGATTTTTTGAAAAATTAAAAAAAAAATAAATAATAAATCAGGCCAGGCACAGTGGCTCATGCCTGTAATCCCAGCACTTTGGAAGCCTGAGGCGGGTGGATCACTTGAGCTCCGGAGTTTGAGACTAGCTTGGGCAATATAGTGAAACCCCATCTCTACCAAAAATACACAAAATTAGCTGGGCATGGTGACCTGTGTTCCCAGCTTCTCTGGAGCCTGAAGGTGGGGTATCACTTGAGCACAAGAGTTTCAGACCAGCCTGGGCAATATAGGAAGACTCTATCTCTACAAAAAAAATTTTTTTTTTTTTCATTAGCAAGGTGTGGTGCAACATGTCTGTCCCAGCTACTTGGGGGCTGAGGTGGCAAACGGTTTGAGCCCAGGAGATGGAGGCTGCAGTGCACCGTAATCAGGCCACTGCACTCCAGCCTGGGTGACTCTCAAAAAATAATAAATAAATAGATAAATAAAGTAGTACTAGATTATAACCTAAAGTCCATTAGTATGAACTCATACTAATAGAAATATATGATCAAATAAACTCAATATTCAATAAGTTGAATAAATGAATGGGAGAAGTCTAGGCATAGTGGCTCACACCTGTAATCCTAGCACTTTGGGGGTGCTGAGGCATGTGGATTGCCAGCCTGGGGAACACAGTGCAACTTCGACTCTACTAAAAATACAAAAAATTAGCTGGGGCCTGGCAGCATGTGCCTGTAATCCCAGCTGCTTGGGAAGCTGAGACAGGAGAATCGCTTGAACCCAGGAGGCAGAGGCTGCAGTAAGCTGAGATCACACTATGCACTCCAGGCTGGGAGACAGAGCTAGACTCCATCTCAAAATAAATAAATAAATGGAAGAGAAGAGACTAATCTCCTATATGGAAGAATTCCAAATAACCTACACAGAGACTCTGCCTTTAAAGAGGTGGAACATAATTCCTTTAGCATGCACTGTGCATAGTGACTTCCAAAGAGTACAGTACAGAAAGATGGGGTAAAAAGAATGACTTTGTATCTCTTCTTGGCCTGTTGGCTAAGATCAGATGTAGTATCTGTTCTTATCAGTTTAATATCTGATTAAAAAAAAAAGAATGATTTTGTAGCCAGGTGCAGTGGCTCACTTCTGTAATCCCAGTGCTTTGGAACACTCAAGTGGAGGATTGCTTGAGGCCAGGAGTTCCAGACTAGCCTGGGCAACATAGGGAGAGCCTATTTCTACAAAAAATAAAACATCAGTCAGGTGTGGTGGCACATGCCTCTAGTCCCAGCTACTTGGGAGGCTGAGGCAGGAGGATCGCTTGAGCTGTGATTGTGCTACTGAACTCCAGCCTGGGCAACAGATCTCTTGTCTTGAAAATAAAATAAAATAAATAAATGAAAAGGATTAAATAAAGGTTTAAAAAATGAGGTAATGACTTAGCAGTGGACTCTGACTTCACTTGGGTGATGAAGGGCAACAGTGGCAGGAGGAGGCCAGTGTGAGAGCTGGAACCTTGATGTGATGTGATGAAAAGGGTCCCTGATCTCTGCTTGATTCTAGTCTAAATCTGAAAACAACAACATACACATTCAAGTTAAGGCACAGTCTATCCCAATACTAGGTATATACCCAAAGGAATAAAAATCATTCTATTATTAATTTTTTTTTGAGAGTTTCACTCTGTTCGTCAGACTAGAGTGCAGTGGTGTGATTTCGGCTCGCTGCAACCTCCACCTCTCAGGTTCAAGCGATTTTCCTGCCTTAGCCTCCCAAGTAGCTGGGATTACAGATGCGCACTACCACACCTGGCTAATTTTCGTATTTTTAGTAGAGACAGGGTTTTACCACGTTGGTCAAGATGGTCTTGATCTCCTGACCTCAGGTGATCTGCCCACTTTGGCCTCCCAAAGTGCTGGATTACAGGCATGAGACACCACACCTGGCCCTTGGAATTCTTTCTCATTAGCGTCTGTAATCGTCCTCTCTCACAGTCTAATGTAAGCTCCAGGAAGGCTGGGGTTTGTTTTGTGTACCCGTGTATCCCCAGCCACTAAGCACCGTGCCTGTCACCATAGATGAAGTCAACAGTGGTTGAAAGATTCAAAGGCAGTTCAAGGTATTAAGTAAGGGAAGAGGGAGGTTTCTGATTTGAGTGGTGGTGACACAGAAATGGAAACAGTGGGGGAAGGGGAGCATCAGATCCCAAAGATGACTCAATTTGGGATATCTGAGGTGCTTGGAAGAGATCTAAGAGAGGTGGGATAGGCATGTCTAGAAAATATTTGTGCCAGGCACGGTGGCTCGCGCCTGTAATTCCAGCATTTTGGGAGGCTGAGGCAGGTGGATCACCTGAGATTAGGAGTCCAAGACCAGCCTGGCCAACATGGTGAAACCCTATCTCTACTAGAATACAAAAAACTAGCCAGGTGTGGTGGCGCATGCCTGTAATCCCAGCTAGTAGAGTGGCTAAGCCGGGAGAATCGCTAGAACCTAGGAGGCAGAGGTTGCGGTGAGCCGAGATTGCTCCATTGCACTCCAGCCTGGGTAACAAGAGCAAGACTTCGTCTCCAAAACAAAAACAAACAACAACAAAAAGAAAATATTTAACTGTGCCGGGCACAGTGGCTCACCCCTGTAATCCCAGCATTTTGGGAGGCTGAGGCAGGAGGATCACCCGAGGTCAGGCATTTGAGACCAGGCTGGCCAACATTTGGTGAGACCCCAGTCTACTAGAAATATAAAAAATTAGCCGGGCATGGTGATGCATGCTTGTATTCCCAGCTACTTGGGAGGCTAAGACAGGAGAATCTGTTGAACCTGGGAATTGGAGGTTGCAGTGACCTGAGATTGCGTCATTGCACTCCAGCCCAGGCAACAGAGCAAGACTCCATCTTTAAAAAAAAAAAAAGAGGCCTGGCTTGGTGGCTCATGCCTGTAATCCCAGCACAAGGCAGGTGGGTGGATCACTGGGTCAGGAGATCGAGGCCATCTCGGCTAACATGGTGAAACTCTGTTTTTACTAAAATACGAAATTAGCCGAGCATGGTGGCCTGTGCTTGTAGTCCCAGCTATCGGGAGGCTGAAGCAGAATCGCTTGAACCTGGGAGGCGGAGGTTGCAGTGACATGAGATCGCACCATTGCACTCCACCCTGGGCAACAAAGCGAGACTCCATCTCAAAAAAAAAAGAAACAAAGAAAAAGAAAGGGAAGGAAGGAAGGAAGGGAAAGAAGAAAGGAAGGAAGGAAAAAAATATTTCACTGAAAGTTTCACTCTCAAATGCCTATAGGGGCCAGAGAGGTAGCCTAAATAGTGCTGGTCTACTTCAAGACAACAGAGTGGAGGGATCATGGCAATCTGGTGAGATTATGCCAAAGGAAAACCATGAGGTAAGCAGGTCTAGTGACCATACATTTTTTGATTTTTCAAGAGAAGCTGAAAATAAGAATTTCCACGTGAAATCTTTTCTGCAAGCCAACTTTCATCTTCTGGTCACCTGTTTCTGACTTTGTTGGAGTAATCCAGGCTCGAGCCTTCCCCACATGTCCTGGGTATGTGTGGTGGTGGCAGGGAATGTTGGCTGCATTTTTCCTAAGGCAACAGGTGCACTTATGAGCCAGGCACAGTGGCTCACTCCTATAATCCCAGCGCTTTGGGAGGTTGAGGCGGGAGGATGCTTGGGGCCAGGAGTTCGAGACCAGCCTGGGCAACAGAGCAAGAAACCTGTCTCTACAAAAATTTAAAACTAGCCAAGTGTGGTGACACAGGCTTGTAGTTCCAGCTACCCCGGAGGCTGAGGCAGGCGGATCATTTGGGAACAGGAGTTCGAGGCTGAAGCGATCTGTGATCCTACCACTGCATTCTAGCCTGGGCAACAGAACAAAACTGCCTCAAAAGGAAAACAAGGCTGGGTGCAGTGGCTGACACCTGTAATCCCAGGACTTTGGGAGGCTAAGGGAGTAGATGGCTTGAGTCCAGGAGTTTGAGACCCGCCTGGGCAACATGGCAAAATCCCATTTCTATAAAAAATACAAAAATTAGCCAGGCGTGGTGGTCCCAGCTACCCAGGAAGCTGAGACAGGAGGACTGCTTGAGCCCAGGAGGCAGAAGTTGCAGTGAGCTGAAATCACACTACTGCACTCTAGTCTAGGTGACACAGTGAGACCCTGTCTCAAAAAAGAAAAAAAAGCAGGCATACTTAGAATAAGGCCATGCAATTAATTCTATAGGGGCTCAGGTTGGGGCCAGCGCAGCTTAGTAGTGACTTGTTTTTGTTTTTGTTTTTGAGATAGACTCTTGCTCTGTAGCCCAGGCTGGAGTGCAGTGGTGCGGTCTCGGCTCACTGCAACTCCACCTCCCGGGTTCAAGTGCTTCTCCTGTCTCAGTCTCCTAAGTAGCTGGGACTACAGGCGCCCACCACCACAGCTGGCTAATTTTTGTATTTTTAGTAGATAAGGGGTTTCACCATGTCGGCCAGGCTGGTCTGTCTCCTGAGTCATGCTCCACCCACCTCGGCCTCCCAAAGTGCTGGGATTGCGGGCATGAGCCACGCCTGGTGTGACTTGCTTTTGAATGATTACATCAAAGAATAATGCTAAGTGTAAAAAGAAAGTTACAAAACAGTACACTCCATAGGATCCCATTTTTTTGCAATACTTTAAAGAGATACAGGTATATGTCTCACTCTATTGTGCTTCATTTTATTATGCTTCGAACAAAGAGAGTGTGCTTTTTTTTTGGATGGAGTTTCACTCTTTCACCCAGGCTGGAGTACAGTGGGACAATCTCGGCTCACTGCAACCGCCACCTCCTGGTTTCAAGCAATTCTCCTGCCTCAGCCTCCCGCGTAGCTGAGATTACAGGCACCCGCCATTATGCCTAGATAATTTTTGTATTTTTAGTAGGGATGGGGTTTTGCCATGTTGGCCAGGCTGGTCTTGAACACCTGACCTCAGGTGATCCACCCGCCTCAGCCACCCAAAGTGCTGGGATTATAGGTGTGGGCCACCATACCTGGCCTCTTTCTTTTATATATTTTACTAAAATATTTTAGTAGAATATTTTATATATTTTACTAAAAATATAAAAAATTCCGTATGGTGGGTGTGGTGGCATGTGCCTGTAGTCCCAGCTACTCTTGGAGGTTAAGGCAGGAGAATTGCTTGAACCTGGGAGGCGGAGGTGGCAGTGAGCTGAGATTGTGCCACTGCACTCCAGGCTGACGACTGGAGCCAGGAGTTTGAGACCAGCCTGGGCAACAAGCAAGAATGAGACTCTGTCTCAAAAAAAAGAAAAAATGGAATCAGAAAAATATTTATATATGTAAAAATAAAGATAAGGGCCAGGTGAGGTGGCTCAGGCCTGTCATCCCAGCACTTTGGGAGGCTGAGGAGGGCGGATCACGAGGTCAGGAGTTCAAGACCAGACTGGCCAACATGGTGAAACCTCATCTCTACTAAAAAATACAAAAATTAGCTGGGCATAGTGGCTCGGGCCTGTAATCCCAGCTACTTGGGAGGCTGAGGTAGGAGAATTGCTTGAACCGGGACCCGGGAGGCAGAGGTTGCAGTGAGCCGAGACTGTGCCACTGCACTCCAGCTTGGGCTACAGAGCAAGAGTCCATCTCAAAAAAAAAAAGACAAGATTGGCTGGGCGTGGTGGGTCACGCCTGTAATCCCAGCACTTTGGGAGGCCGAGGCAAGTGGATCACCTGAGGTCAGGAGTTCAAGATCAGGCTGGCCAACATGGTGAACTTCATGTATACTAAAAATATAAAAATTATCCAAGTAACCACACCAAAAAAATACAAAAATTAGCCAGGTGTGGTTGTTGGTGGGGGGGCATCTGTAATCCCAGGTCCTCAGGAGGCTGAGGCAAGAGAATCGCTTGAACCCGGGAGGTGGAAGTTGTGGTAAGCTGAGATCACTCCACTGCACTCTAGCCTGTACGCTGTTTTCATAGATGTAACACTATTGCACACTTTTTTTTTTTTGAGACAGAATCTCCCTCTGTTGCCCAGGCTGGAGTGCAGTCACACGATCTCAGCTCACAACCTCTGCCTCCCAGGTTCAAGTGATTCTTCTGCCTTAGCCTCCTGAGTAGCTGGGACCACAGGTATGTGACACCACACCCAGCTATTTTTTGTATTTTTAGTAGAGACAGGGTTTCACCATGTTGGCCAGGCTGGTCTCGAACTCCTGACCTCACGTGACCCACCCGCCTCGGCCTCCCAAAGTGCTGGGATTATAGACTTGGGCTACTGCACCAGGCTGGAACCATTGTTTATATGCACCAGGAAATGAAAAAATTCACGTGCCTCGCTTTGTTGTAGTGGCCTGTAGTAAAAAAATAACTAGAGGAATTTCCCCAACAATGAACAGCAGTTATCCTCAAGAAGTGGGATGATGGTGCACTTTCCCTCCATGCTCTGTATTTGAATGATTTTATAATGACTATGTATTACCTAACAGAAACCCCCCCAAAAAATTTATAGTTTTTTGTTTTTTGTTTTTAAGGACGGAGTTTCGCTGTTGTTACCCAGACTGGAGTGCAATGGCACAATCTTGGCTCACCGCAACCTCTGCCTTCTGGGTTCAAGCAATTCTCCTGCCTCACCCTCCTGAGTATCTGGGATTACAGGCATGCGCCACCACGCCCAGCTAATTTTTGTATTTTTAGTAGAGACGGGCTTTCACCAAGTTGAACAGGATGGTCTCGATCTCTTGACCTCATGATCCACCCGCCTCAGCCTCCCAAAGTGCTGGGATTATAGGCGTGAGCCACCGTGCCTGCCAAATTATAGATCTTTAACATACTCTGCCTCTGCAGACATGTGTGGTATGCACATAGAAAGGACCTGAAGAATATACACTGAACGACTGACAGCAGTTACCTTGGGGAAGGGGATGGTACTTGGGAAGGTTGGCAGGTGAAGGAGAAATTTAATGTTTTGCTCAGTGTCTTGCTAGGTTGCTTGAATCTTACACAATATGTATTCCTGTGTTATAGAAAAATAATGTGAAAACTTCAGTGCTCAACCCTCGAACCCATCCCTCCAGAAGTAGCAGACCAACTTGCCCAGGTGGGTGGAAGAAAGGAAAAACTTGGCCAGATATGGACAGCACCGTCCTCATGCCTCCCTTAGCCCAGTAACCCACCCAACCCACCCTGGTCCACTCCACCCCCGTCCACCCCACCCCACACACACTCAAAGAAGAGCCCGGGGCCTCATTGTAACACTCATTTTTATATAAATATCCGCAAGTCATGTTACAGAATAAGCCCCACCGGGGAAAAAAAGTCAACGTTATGGTTTTGTTAGATTGACCCCTGCCTTCTAGGTTGGGCCCCAGCCTGGAGGCGCCTGCTGCTTTGGGAAGGCTGGGGCTGCTGCCGTGAGGCTGCCGAAGAAGCTGCCTGTGTCGCCCACCCCTGGGCCGACCCCCTTCTTTGGTGTGTGGTACATGGTGACCTTCTCTGGCCACCCTTAGCCTGGGGCAGGGTTTTGGAGAACGGGGTTCAGGGAAGCAGGGCCCAGGAGTCCTGGGGGCACTTGGAAATGGGGTGAGGGGGACTGAGCCATTAAGAAGTGGAGTCTGAGACAAGAGGCTGAGCCTTTGGGGGTGGGGGCAGAATGAATGGGAACAGTAGGGGGGACCAGGGCTGCCAACCAAGCAAGAAACTTCTGCCCTTCCCTCCAACACAGGTCCCTAGGTCCTGCCCCATGTTGGTCATCTCCTGCTGGCCCCACCTTTCCAGGGAGAAGCCTGCCTGACCCCTCCCAGCACTTCTGCCTGCAGTCCCCTCTCCCCCACAGAGAGGCCAGAGGCTAGGAACACAGCACCAGTCTGAGGATTTAATTAACCAGGAAGGGGACTGTTGGGAGGGGCACCCCTGTAAAAATGTACAAAAGGTCTGGGGGCTATGTGAAAGGGGTGATAAATATGTACATGGAACCCCCCTTCCTTGAGCCCCTCCTCCCCCAGCCCTCGGAGGGCATGAGGACTTGGGTGTAGGTGAAGGGGAGGGGGCACTTTGGCCTCTGGCTTAGTGAGCCCTTGGGGAGGCAGGCCCAGGGCCTAGAGGCCCTTAGAGGGGCAAAGGTGCACCTCATGAGGCCTCATGGCCCCTGAGATGAGCCACACTCCCATGCACACGCCCCTCTCCCTCTCTAGAGGCTGTGACCTCTGCTCTCCCAGTGACCCCATACTCCATGTGATGCTTGGTCTCGTGGGGGTTGAGGCTTCTGTTCCCAGGTTCCATGACCTCAGAGGTGGCTGGTGAGGTTATGACCTTTGCCCTCCAGCCCTGGCTTAAAACCTCAGCCCTAGGACCTGGTTAAAGGAAGGGGAGATGGAGCTTTGCCCCAGCCCCTCCCCTCCCCTCACCTGTCAGCCCGAGCTGGGCCAGGGCCCCTAGGTGGGGAACTGGGCCGGGGGGCGGGCACAAGCGGAGGTGGTGCCCCCAAAAGGGCTCCCGGTGGGGTTTTGCTGAGAAGGTGAGGGGTTCCTGGGGCTGCAGCAGGTGGTGGTGGAGGAGCCAAGCGGCTATAGAGCAAGGGGTGAGCAGGTTCCAGACCATAGAGGCGGGCAGCAGCCACAGCCCCGGGTCCAGTCAGCTCCTCGCCCGCCTCATAGAACCGAGGTGGCCTTGCCAGGCGTGGGGGTGCAGCCAACCAGGTTGGCTCCAGGAAGCCAGTACAGCGCTCTGATGGGCTAGGGCCCAGAAACGGGGGTGGCCGGGGCCTCTCAAACAGCAGGTGAAGGCCCTGGGGCCCAGTGGCTGCGGCAGCGGCGGCGGCAGCGGCGGCGGCGGCAGCGGCAGCGGCAGCGGCGGCAGCAGCAGCCTCCTCCTTCCGCTCTTCCTTTACCCGCACGGATTCCTTGACTGGCCGAGGTCCTTCCTCGCCAGCCCGGGCCTTGGGAGTAGCAGGAGAAACTCGGAGCTGGGGCCGTGAGAAGGGGAGGTCCCTGGAGAGCAAGTGTGGGGAGAGAATGAAGTTCAGGGGCAACAGGGGCTGAGGGTGGGGCAGGGGTGGAGTAGGTGGGAGGCATACCTGTCCTTCTCCTCCTTGGTGAGGGAGGGCTCCCTCCGCTCCACAGGCCGCTCCTTGTCTGAGCCTGGAGTCCGGGCGGCCTCAGGGGGCCGGACCCAGGCAGGAAAGGCCAGAGGACTGCGGTGCAGGCGGCCCCATGGGTCCGGAGGGGAGGCGAAGGCTGGTGGGGCCCCTGGGCTTTCTTTCTGGGCAAAGACGGCGCCGGAGTCTGGGCAGAGGGTGAAGCAGAGAGTGACAGGGGCCAGGACTGGGAGGCCCCGTTCAGGCCTCCTGCCAGGTCATCCACAGCCACAGCCCCCGACCCCACCGCGCCCATACTCACTGAATGTGGGGCTGCCCAGGCCTCCAAAGGCCCCGTTGGAAAGGGCAGCCAAGGAGGCGAAGCTTGTGGGACGCCCAAAGGGATCTGTGGGAGGAAAAGGGGTTGGTCAGAGCACTAGGCAGCCAGTGTTGAGCATGCACGAGGCCTGGCCAGGCAGAGGCAGAACAGGCGCCCGGAGCCCTCAGCTGCCTGCTTTCAGCAGCCGTGTGCTGAGCACTTCCTTGGGCCAGGAAGGTGTTGAGCTTTGACTAGCACCTTGTCAGTTAACCTCACAAAAAGCCCAAGAGTTGGTTAGGATCATGCCACTTGAAGATGATGAAATAGGCTCAGAGAGGTGAAATGACTTGCCAGTGGTCACCTAGTCAGGGAGTGGTATCAACCCAGGGCCTCCATGACACGATGTCACGCTCTTATCCCCTACTGCCCCACACCAGCTGGCTGGACCCATCACAGCAGATCTCTGCTCCGTAGCAAGCCACTCGCCCGAAGACCTGGTTGGCTTCCTCCCACCTGACATGCAGGGTCCTTCCCGACCTGACCCTAACTTCATGCATACGTCACACAGCCAGACAGAACAACTAACCTATCCTGCCACCGACTGCCACCATATCCCTAGCCAGAAACACCATTCTCCAAGCCACCAGGCTCAACTCCTCCTTGTCCACCCAAACCCAGGTGAAACCTCCCCAAGACACCTGCCAAGATCCTAGGAGGCAGGGGCCCCGCCCCCCTACCTTCCACTCCCAGGTGTCGTACTGCCCCTGCCACTGGCCACTTGGAGACAGGGCTGCAGCTGGCAGAGACTGAAGTTGCCCTGCCCTTTCCTACTCATTTTACAGATGAGGAAATCAAGGCTCAGAGGAGGTAGAATAACCTGCCCAAGGTCACTAAGCAAGTGGAACCAGGTCTATCCCGCATTCCAGCTGCCTGCTGGATCTGATTTCCATCTCCTGGAAGTGAGGGACAAAGCCTGGGTTGCCCAACATGCCCTTGGCTCTTACCAATGTGGGTGCTGGGGCTCAGGAAGGGTCCGTGGGCCCCGGGAGCTGCCGTGAAAGGGTTGGCTGCAGCGTGGACGGCACCTGGGGCAGAGAGGTGGGAGATTCTGATGAGGCTGAGTGGGCACGAGCTGGGCCTCAGGCTATAGATAGGGAACCTCAGGCCCAAGGGGCTGGCCAGACTCACCAGTCGCAGTGAAGAGGGAGGCCGGGTGGGAGAGCTCCTGCCCAGGGGGCAGGGCCCCATAGGACCCCGGAAGGCAGGGCAGGAGGTCGTTCCGAAAGTCAAGCTTGTGGGAGTCACCCTGCGTGGGACACAGGGAGAGGGGCAGGACATGAGGAGCTGGTCTGGTCCCCCTCTTGCTCTCTCACCCCCGGTTCTCCTCCAAAGGCTGGCTGGCACCCAGATGGGGCTTGGATGCCTATCTTCTGCCTCTCTCGGCACCTTCTCTGAGCAGCCCCCTAATGAGCCAGAGAACTAAGGTGCCAGCCATAGGACTTTAGCCGTGATGGGGGACAGGAGAGAATGTTTCTGGCCAAGATTCTGCTGAGCTCTGTTAAGAGCTGATGCCCAGAACTCAGACCTCCCCTGACTCTCAGACCCACTCTCCCCAGCCCTCCGGCCCCAGTACCTTCATTTTCTCCTGGTGTCTCAGGATCATGTAAGCCACACGCACGTGCATGGCACACCACTTCCCTGGTTTCTGCCGCCCCAGAAGGATGGCCAAAGGGAAAGGGAAGGAAAGAACGTTCACTCATCACCCACTCCAGGCCTGGCTCTGGACCCAGCCTCGCCACAAAACATCCCTAACTCATCATCCCTACAACCGAGGGATGACTAGGTTTATTTTACAGCCTAGGAAACTGAGGCTCAGAGAGATCAACTGCCTTGCCCAAGGTCCCATGGCCAGTTCCATCTGAGCCCAGGTCTGTGACTTGAAAGCCCTTACTCTCTGCTGTTCCACACCCAGCTGCCTCCAGGTTTTGGGCTTCTCACTTGTTCCCAAGCAAGACCCCCCTTAGCCAAATACCCTGACACCAGCCCCCAGCTTCATGCAGCCTGAAGTCCTCACATAACTCACCCTCAAAGGTGGCCGGAAATGGTCGGGGATCTGAGGATGGCAAAGGAGAGATGGGAGGCAACTCAGACTGGAGTCCTGGGCCAGGTGCCTCCATCTCCACAGCATCCACTTACCCACCCACATGCCTGAGACTCTGCAACTCCCTCAAACCCTTCGTGCGCAGGCCCAAGCTCCTTTCCCCATCTCTCCAACTCTGGGCATCTCTCCTCCAGCACAAGGTTTCTGAACCAGGCCCCAGGGAGATGCCCTGCTGGGAGGCTGAGGGTGGTGAGGGGGCAAGCAGGACAGGTTTCTCAGAGAAGCTAACCTATTACCAGCTTTAGACTATCTCTGTCTGTTTAAGGTTTCTTTAGAAAAAATGCCTTTGAAGGAAGTTGGAAAACCTCTGGCCTAGTCTCCCCTGTAGGAAATTGATCCTTGGTTTCACAGTGCTCCCGAAGCCTTGGGGTCTAAACTGCTACAAGTGCTAAGGGGAGGGAGGCTCTGGCTTTCCTCTCTTCACCAAGGGGCAGCTTTTATCTTTTGTTTTTTGAATAGGGCTTCCTGATACAATGTCATCTGGAAAAAAAGTGTTTTGTGACTTAAAAAGTTTGAAAACCCCTATAAAAACCACTGTCCTAATCATCTTATTCCTGGGACAAGCTCATGAAACTCTCATTTCTCATGCCTGGGAAAGTCGGTTATTTACAGAAATTCCCTCTCATTAGACACCCAGAACACCCGATTGTGTCTTCAAGGAAGGAATCAGTAGTTCACTCTCCTCAAGTTTGTTCTGC